TTAAGGTCATGGTGTAGGGTTTTGTTGGTTACATAGAATGGAGCATCAACTATTGTTTGATGGACTTTGGTATGAAAAGATTGGATGCATTTGACGTTAGAAAATTTTGCCGCCCCTATAGTTCTTGTCCATAGATCCAAGTGGGTTTCAACATGTTTAATAACATTTAACATGTTTTATTGAAAATAATATTAAAAACTATCTCTTAAAGTATTATTTGCAAAACTATTTTATTGAAAGACAACGTTTCGACCCGATTTTGCAGGTCTTCTTCAGGGAGGTGTGTTCAGCAAGGAGTTTCACTTAAAACCAGTTTAAGGTATTATTTTTCTTGCAATTACATTTAAAGGGACTTCAAGAATCACTTTTAAACTCCATTTCATATAGTTAGTTAATTTGTTTCTCTTTTTTTTTCAAATCAATTATCGTTATATATATTAAAAAAAAAGCTTTCAGGCTGAAGCCATCCCAAAATTAAATGCTGGATCCGCTAGTGCCTTTACTTATATATTATTACTTTTACCGTCTACTAGTTTCTCATATTTATGTTATCTTGTCTTTTCTTAGTCCTGATGAATGCATGAATCTTGGGCAGAAACGTCGACATATTTTTTTTATTTTTTCTTTGTTTGACTGAACTCTCCAACAAACTTCTCTTCGATTGAATTATAATATAAGTGATTATGTACCAAATAGAAATTTTAAAGACTTTTTTTTGGGGGGGAGAGAATTTGCTCTAATTTAATAATTAAATAAATAAAACAATAGTCGCTAGTCAAGCAATCGAAACGACGTCCAAGGAAGGGAAAATAAATGAATAAATAATAAAAATTCCGATAATTATAGAACAGACTTCTTTTATTCAGGAAACGTTCAAGTAGAAATCGATAGTGAACGAATCGATACTGATAATGTTGACAATAATAGAAGAGCCCTCTGGAGAAGACGTTCTCATTGGAGAAGTCGGCGGGCCAAAGAGGTTAATATATTATATCGAGGGGGGTCGATAGAGCAAGGACAATACGACTAGTTTAACCTTTCCCGCCGCGAGTGACGCTTGCGGACAGCTTTTCGAACCTTTTATAGTGAGTTATATTTATTTAATTATTAATAAGTACATAATTATAGATATATTTGATAAATTACTGACAAAAATCCCACATTTTGGTGTCCAAAAATGTCTTGATATTATTTCATACAATTCTTTAATTTTTATAACAACAATAATAAAATATCTCCGTTCGATCTTTCAGAATATATATATAAGGCTATTTTTATGATAAAAAATAATAAATTGTTTAATAAAATTATTTTCTTAATAATGGTGGAGAAATAATTTATTGTATATAATATGGTTCATAGAAAATAATAATAATAATATATATATATATCACTAGCGGATCCAGGGTTTAATTTTTTTTTTTGGGGGGGGGCTTTAGACTGAAAGATTTTTTTATTACATACATGTAACAATAATTAATTTGAAAAAAAAAAGAAAGAAATTAACTACCTATATGAAATGGTGTTTAAGTGATTCCTGAGGTCCTATTAAATGTAATTACAGGAACAAGAATAATTTAAGAGATAGTTTTTAATATTTTTTTCTGTGAAACATTGTTATATTTTACCATTTTGGGGGATGGCTTCAGCCCGAAAGCCTCCCCCCGTAGATCCGCCTGTGATATATATATATACATATATTTGCCAACAATACGGCCTATTTATCATAGTTTCATTCATCCTTCATCAGGGCTGAGTAAAGAGAAGAAAATACATTAGGAAAAAAAATAATAAGATATGAAAACAATTATATTGAATGGCAAGGCATGAAATTACAGGTTCCCTCAGATCTTAATGGCCAAACTTTGGTGGGGGGAAATGGTATTCTAGACAAAATGTCCAACAAAGAAGTTCATTTGATGCAAGGGCCGATTCCGAAAAGAAAATGAGTTAAGACCAATTTTTTGTGGCCAGGTTTTTTGTTCATTAAAAAAAAAAAAACTGATCAAAAACTCTTCAAGATAATAAAATTTTAAGTACTCCATCGTGAAGTAGAAAACATTTTTCTGAGAAAACTATAATTAAATTTATTAGTCAATGATAAAAGGTACTTTCAGGAGGTCTAATACGGCCTCTGTACTGCTGCAGTTAGAGTACTCATACACGAGCAGCATATTTCTATTCAGTATCCTAAAAGTCCCTTTTATCATTGACATTAGTAAACTTAATCATTGTTTTTTTTTTTTTAATATCTCTGCTTTACGATGGAGTGCTTAGAAATTTATTATTTTGAACAGTTTTTCTAGCAAATGCTTATCAATAAAAAAAAGTGACCACACAAAATTGCTCTTAACTCCTTTTCCTTTCGGAATCGACCCATGCATCAGATGAACTTTTTTTGGAAATTTTGTTTATAATTACCCCCTTCCTCCCTCCACACACTACAAATTCAGGATTTAAGTTTTTGGGGGCTTCAGCCAGAAAGTTTTTTTTTTGTATATATATATATTAGGATAATTACTTCGGAAGACAGATAGAAACTAACTACCAATATGAAATGTTCTTTAAGTACTATTAACTGTAATTAGACGGACAATAATACTTTTAGAGATACATTTTTTTCTATAAAACATGGTTACATATTTTACCATTTTGAGAAGAGGAGCTTTAGCCCGAAAGCCCTTCCTCCCCCACACTTTAGCCAAGAAGAACTGTGAAACTCTGTTATTTCTAAAATATTGTAATAAGTTGAACTACTACTACTTTATAAGTTGTACACTACTTACATATATTTTCATATCTTGCCATTTAAAAAAAGTTTTAATTAATTTATTGTTATCTTGTATATTCTCGTCCCTAATGAAGGGCTGAAACTTAATAAATTGTTCTTTTTATTTTTGATTGTGACTACAACCCCAACTAACTGCCCAGATGTTAGGCTTCCTGATAGATGATTACCTACGCTTTGTTCCGTGCTATATGCCCATCTAAACCTCTTTGCTTCCATATCACGAGGTATTGATTGACCAGTTTTCCGTAAGCAGCTCTGTTCAATACGATAATATTCTGATCACTAGCGGATTCAGGATTTAATTTTGGAGAGGGCTTCAGCCCGAAAGATTTTTTTTTCCATATACATATAAAGATAATTAATTTGAAAAAAAATAAAGAAATTAATTACCTATATGAAATGCTGTTTAAGTGGTTCTTGAAGTCCTATTAAATATAATTACACGAACAAGAATACTTTAAGAGATAGTTTTTAATATTTTTTATACCATGTTAATATATAACATGGTTACGTTTTACCATTTTGGGAGGGGGGCTTCAGCCCGAAAGCTCTCCCCCCCTCCTCCCGTAGATCCGCCTGTGATTTTGATCCCAGTTAGCTTCGATTACTCTGAGGATTTTCCTCTGAAATCTTTCAACAATTCTTTTTGAGGTTCTGGCTAAAGTCCAGGTTTCGCAGCCGTATATCAGAATTGGCTTTGTCATCATAATTACACCCTTAATTTAAGATTTTAATGAATTATTGAGACTCTTCAGGATTTCAATACAAATAAACCTCCTTTTATTTACTTAACTATATGTATAACCTGTACTACTAACAACCCATGAAGGGTCTTGAGTTCAGTACTATGTGAGGAAGTACTGTTACAAGGCCAACGGTTGTGTGTGCAGGGAGGTGACGGGCCAATATCACGCTCTACCGCCTGGTTCCTCCCTAATTAATTATTTAATTAAGAGTACCCACTTTATAGAGGCTGGGTTCTCCTCAGGAAGATCTCACGACCCCAAGGTCTACCCACGGCTGATGAAAACTTACTAGTCATCAGCTGGATTCGAACCTGGGGCCTTGGGCTCTGGAAGTCAGTGCTCAGCCAACATATATATATATACATATATATGTAAGTAAATATATGGTAGTTATAATAAAAGTTTAAAGAGAAAATATAAATATATATATGCAATCAATCCTAGCGTGAGATAAGGAAAGTCCATTATTAAATCGCATAGGCTGAATGGATCGCATGAAGATAAACGAAATTGGATATTCAACGGGTTAGTGACATTGAGAATTGATTATACAATATTATTTATTCATTTGGAAATATATTTAAAACCGAATGGAGTGTTTAAATAAAATTTTATTATCAAATGAATTGACTTGAAAATCATTCAGAAGTATAAAACGTGGAATCTACATAGGAGCGGATTAAGACTTATGAGATGTCTTAAGCAGGAATAATGATTTGGCGCCCGTTACAATTTTACTGAGAAAAAAAAATTAAAATGATAATAAAATGAACTTTGTTGACAATTAAAAAAGAAATTGTCTGTAGAAACGTTTACATTATCCACTGTGATGACATAATTTCTTTCTTGCAAGGGGGTAGAATAGATGGAGTCTTCCCCATAGTTTGATTTCAGAATCAGGATTTATTAAATAATTGTATAAATGTATCTTTTTTTCTTCAAACGAATGTTTTTAATGGTCCTTCTCATAGAGGTTTTAAATTTCACCGGGAATATTCTCAGAATTATTAATGAGTTTTGATGGAGGTTTCCCAAACATCTCATAAAACACCACCATTTTACAAAAATAAATAAATAAATACAGAACTGAAATATCAATACAGTGTAAACGAAGACTTTTCTCTCTCATTCATATTCTAAAGAAGCTGAGGTATACATTTCAGACTATTCTAACTTCTAGATAAGAAAAGAGGGAAAACTAAATTCTATCTACTTTGTTTTGTTTTTTCGATAGCTTGAAAACTATACATACACTGATGCATTATAGGAGAATAATTTAATTCTCTACATAATTATACATGCAATTTGACCAATATCAGCAGACAATTTTTATATTGTATCACCCTTCGATTCTGATAGGAAAATTGTATGACACACGCCACACATATTTTATATATGACTATTTGGAAATAATAAACTATTGTCTAATATGTGTTTTAATACGATAATCGATATGTTGATCAGGCTAAGATTGAACGAGTGCACAAATCTTCGAGAGAAGGAGATCTTCGGGGAGTTCGTACCTCTTTGGATCGCCGCAAGTACGCGGTTGCCAAAGACAACAGCACAAGTCTCAAGCCGACTCCACTTCACGTCGCGATTCTCTTTGGCAGGACCAGTGTGAGTACTCCATTTTATAATGAAAAAATACACTTTTCTGTTTAATTTAAGTATGAATTAAATACTTTTCATTAAATGCTGTGATTCCTTTGTAGAAGTATTAATAACAGGTAACAAATTAAAAATACCTAGGCTTACTTCTTCATCTTCCTGCTAAAACAATTATTTCACCGTTTCAAAAACACTCCAAAAAATAATTACTTGAAAGAATTATTTATTTCTGTATCTTTATTGAGCTGAAAACTTCTTTAGGCGCATTTGGTACTTTTTTGTGGAGAGTGAATTAGATTGAGCCGTCAGATTTCCGATGTGAAACACTCGGGTAAATTCGGCTAAAGTCGAATGATCGAAAAGTTTTTGCGATTAAAATATCTTAGTAAGGATTTGAAAAATATCGCATAGCAGCATAATACCTATAATCCATGGTACAGAACCCTTTTTATCGAATTATTAACATTTGTCTGAAACTTCGTAAATAATTTCATATCATCGTAATCTACAACTATTTTATTTACGAAAACTCTTTGAATTGAGGCGTTTTCAATCTTGAGGGGACCAAAGTTTGTCTATTTAATTAGGTGCTAAAAACTCGTAAATATCCATTTGCTTTATACTTGGATCGTAAGATAATTTGATCACAATATCGAGGAAAAATCTTTTCAAAATAACGAGGTTATATGGGACATAGAGCCCAATATGTATATATTAAACAAGCAAGTATTGTTATATTAAACTGTTTATTTATTCAATCTTCCTTGCCTTTCGGTAACACAGGTTTTGGTGGGGCAGCATTATGGATGGATCATATTTAATAATTATGGATAAATATTTTCAAAACTCTAAATCCAAGCTAAGAAGACCACCTTCTTCTACGACTCCTTCTATTAGTGATTCTTCCGCCTTCTTCTCCACCCCGACTATCGGGGATATTTCCACCTTCTTCCACCATATTTTCTCAAGGTGGTTTCTATAACAAGTTTCTGAAGTGGCCTTCGACTTTAGGTCCTGCGCTACCTAGCGGGAAGGTTCCCGGAGACGATGCATGCTCAAGACAGCGGAGGAAGAACGCCTCTTCACTATGCTGCAACTCTTCCAGACAATGGCCACTTCTACTCACTTCTCATCACCCTCGGAGCGGACAAGGCCATCCTGGATAAGGTATCATCAGCCAATTAAATAAAGTTATTCAACTATCGTGAACATTGTGTAAAATTCCAATCTTTCAGTCAGGGAAAACAGCTGAATATTACCTGAAGAACAAAGAAGACTTGACCCGTGAGATGCTATTGGCAGAGTACCAAGACAGGCCTGTTCCAATCGACACCAGTGGCCTCAACTTCAACAGATATTCAGATAAAGGTGGATATGATTATTTAAAAAATGTACATGTTATTGTTGTTGCATTTTAAAACTGTTTTTTCAAATCACTAGGTTACACTTAAACATACATACTCCTTTGCATGCTTTACAAAATACTCTTTATTATTATTTTCTGAATATATTTTATTTATTGCATGTGCATCTTCCTTTTATCTTTCAGATAATATTAATATATCATCTCATGTGTTAATTTGATCTTGATTGATTGATAAGAATTGGAATTTCTTATTCTTCCAATTTGTCAACTTTTACCTTGAAAAACAAGAGGAATACCCAATCAATAGACATACATTTCCATCCCAGAATAAAATGAAAGGTTTGACAAGATCGAATCTGGAATAATCTAACCTTGAAGTTAAACCAGCTAAGACTATCCTAAAACACAAGTGAAGGATCACCAGTGAATCTCCAAGGATACCATGAGGAAGACTCCTCATTTTTAGGAAACTATATTGGAGAATTTTTCAGCTAGCGTTAAAAGGAGTATAGTATAAGAGGGGAATAAGTCCAAGATCAGAGCTCCTAGTCGAGACCCTTTAAGCTGTTCCTGGCTCAGCACAATGCTATTTCAGAAGAAAGGAATATGAAATGATGATGATGTTAGATAACACACTATATAGTTGTTTGATTGTCTACATAAGGTTATAGTTGAAAGATTCCAAAACAAAGCCTTTTATCTTTGAAATAGCAGTAAATAGCTGAGCAGTGAATTTTTCGCCAATCCAAGCATCATTATAACTAAAATACCAAAGATCTCACAAATGTACACTTGAGATAACACAGGTCATTCTCTATAGATAACTTTAAAATGACCAAAAAATAGTACACTAGCTAAACTGGATTTATGGACTGATAAGTGAATTGCATTGCCTTTAGTGTATAGAAAGATGAGTGAAATTCACAATTTTTTCTTTAGGATCAAATAATTAAATAATTAAGCTGTATGCAATGAATAATAGAATAATGAAAAAAAATGTAGGGTCTGTAGGCTTTTGAGCATATTGAGGACAGCATATCCAAATCTTTCTACATTTATGAGAAAATTAACACAGATTTCTTGAATAGTAGAATGAATTTCAAAATGTGAAGAATTATGGTTTAATCAAAAGTTTAACTTGTATATGAACAGATAATGAAGGAATCTTTTTGTAATTTAAGCAACTGGATTCATTTAAATGTGTTCAGAAACAATTAAATGAAAATTTTAGACTCCCCAATATGATACTGACTCTCATAAACATTATACAATGAAATTTAAGTTTTCAATGAACATTGTGGATGAAGATAAATTCTCAAAACTGTATGTATTATTATGTAAATTATGTATCACTTCATCGGCTTATTTGATATCACTACCAGCAATACATTTTTATTGCTACTAAGCACAGCAAGCCAGCTTGTTAAAGATTGGACCAGAATTAGCACTATTTGTTGCATGGATCCTCCCGAATGCAAGAACATAATGGCCTCCCTCCGTTTTGCAGTTGAAAATGACACCATCTCCGCTCGACACGATGTGGACGAGGAGGCCTTGCTGGAACAGATGGAGAGGTGCTTCAAACTGCTGACCACAAGAGCTCCTGGAAGCATTCTCGGCCGCATCCTCAGCCGCGATCTCTTTGAAGAACTGCGCCTCTATTACACCAAGATGGACAACACCCTCCTCGACATCATCAGGCTGATGGGTAAAGATCTCGCCTTGGGAAAGAACAGAGTACTCACTGATCCGAACTTCAGTGGCATCATGATACCTGATAAAGAAAGCTTCATACTTTTTGGGAAGCTGTTAGAACCACTGATCAAAGAGGTGAATGGGGTGACTCAATTCAATAATGAATTTGGTAATTATTTTGGAGCAGAGGATCAAAACTTCTTCAATTTAGATCTTGATCCAGGAGGTATCATTGTAAAGTCTTGTGTTGTAGAAGTTGTTCGAAATCTTGCTCCTGTGGCGTTTGTCAAAAATTTAAAGTTGTCCGAACTGGAGAAGGTGGAAGTAGCGCTGTCAACTGTGCTAACTGGTTACTACAGAAAAAACAAAGAAGCAGCTTTTGTTGATGATGCTGGTGAAAATCATGGTTCATATTATTCCCTCGGCGAAATATTGGAGAATAAGGAAGTATTTCAAGATCTGAAAGAGGAAGGTCTGGTTATAAATGGCGTTGAAGAAGGAGATTGGCCTTATGGTAGAGGTGTTTTCATAAGTCCATATGGAGACATCACAGCTTGGATAAATATAAGAGAACATTTGCAGCTGTTATCTGTGACACCAGCAGATAAGAGAGGTCTCATTGGACCAGCTTATAAGACAGCATATGAAATTGTCCAGTCCCTGGAAGAGAAAGTGGAGTGCCTTAAAGACCCGAGGTTAGGGCGACTTTCTACGGACCCAGGTTTTGTGGGTAACAGCCTGAGGATTCATGTGGTCGCCAGCCTTCCGCACATTGGAGAGGATCTTCCTTCACTAAGGAAGTTGTGCAGTTCTAGGAACCTTCTGGTCGAAGAGAACAGCAAGCCTGGCATATTTAAGTTGAGGAACAGGTCCTGTCAGAACATGAAGGAAATAGATCTTCTCAAGTCTTACGTATTGGCTATTACAGATATAATTGAAATGGAAAAAGCATCAATGCGTGTTACGGTAGCTCAGATCCCCAATCTTATTAAGAATTTCCTAAGGAAAAAGAGTAGCAAAGAAAATCTAAAGTGATCGGAGCTTTTATCATGTTAGCATTAATTGTCAATTTTACCATCTGTCATTCAAGCTGTTTGAGACTGTGTGAAAAGGGTACATTATTCGAACAAATAAGGAAGTTTTGTTACTCCTAGAATGGATGAGAAGTCATGTTTAGTACTGATATTGTATTCATAGCTCAAGAAAGGAACTTGGATTTTTGTCAGAGTGGAGAGGGGAAGGGGAAGGCATGCATGGCTGTTAGACTATAAAATAGATTATTCTATTTTTATAATTATTTTTGCCAGTGATGTCCAGTTTTCAGTATCTAAGCATTCTTTTATATAGTTTTTACTTTGAAAAAAAGATAGTAGATGAATGTTGAATATTTTTTGGATAAGTTTTTACTCACTTAATTAATGTATATTAAAAATAAATAAATAAGTGTTTACTAGAATGTCTACAGAGAGTAATGTACTATTGTCAGTTATATAATTTAGTTGTCATGTAAGTGGTATCTGCAAAAGAAGCACATATGCAATAGTGTGTTATAATCATATCACTCCATTTTATTATTTTTATTATTGTATAAATTCAAACTGCTGCATAATCATCTATAAAATAATCTTTAAATTTCTCAAAAAAAAATTGTTGATACCTGTAAAATATTTATTAATTTGTGGCTGAGTGCATTTTATTTGTCCCACAAAAACATGTAAAAAGAAATTCTTGGTGAGACGTATGACATTTTAAACAATTGAGGAGTATTCCATCAAAAGTTTATTGCAAAAACTCACTAAGTACACTTTTGAAGAAGGTATATTACATTATATCTTATACTTATTATAATGTAGAAGGAAGTTAGTCGACTGTTCTACATATCATGGGTGATAAATATTCAGGACGCACTCTTTTTTTTATAAAAAAATTTTTAATTTATTATTTATGCCAACGTTTCAACCAAAACATGTGGGTCATCTTTAGGGCGTGGTTTGAGCACTGAGGGTGTTCAAGTACTCCTAGTAGTATTTGACAAGTAGTACTTGAACACCCTCAGTGCTCTAACCACGCCCTCAAGATGACGCACATGTTTGGGTTGAAATGTTGCCATAAATAAATTTTTTTTATATAAAACAGAGTGCGTCCTGAATATTTATTGTGTTACCCATTATTGTGTTATATATTTAAGTGATTTTTATGCGAATTTCAGCCATATTTATCCATACAAAAACACAATAATCCAGCTTATCAATTCAAAACAAACTATTGATATACAAGACCATACTCAAACCCATCTGGACCTATGGTCTTGAACTGTGGGGGACAACTAAATTTTCGAACATCAAATGCATCCAATCCTTCCAGTCTAAAGTCCTTCGTATAATAGTCTCCTTATTATGTTACTTACAAAACCTTACATCATGACCTTTACATCCCTTACGTTCATGACGTTATTCCATCTTGATTCTCAAATTTTCACCTGAACCTAATCAACCATCCTAATCCCTTAGCTCAATCCTTATCCAGTTCCAGTCATCCCTTCAAAATGACAAAAACCCTTTTATATATCAGAAATATCGCAAAAATTATTATAAAATAATTAATTGACAAAAGAAACTTTTAATTTTATAGAAAACTAAATAACTTTTAGATGTATAATTTGTTTAAAAAAAACATTTTTGTAATGATATGTAGATATATTAACTCTTGAAAGAATGCTCCTCGATTCCATTTTAGATGAATCCTCAAAACTTCTTGTATCTTCGGAACACAAATTTGAAAATTCAGATCTGTTAATTTTTAATAATATTTGAATTTAGAATATTCTATTTCTATTATTACTGGACTTAAATTTGGGTTCCGAGAAATCAACTAATGTTATAAAATTATGTTTTAGTTTTCTATCAATATTATTCAAGTGATATTTACTAATTAATTATTAGGAGTCAAGTATATAGAACACTAATTGCACCAAAGTCAGTGATTTAGAAGTTCATTTTAAACATTATTAATTCTTTAAGTCACATGTTTGATTATTATCAGGTAAATTAGTAAATAGTTTATAAATTCCATTATTCATTATGATTAAACTACATTTAAATTTTAATTATTAATCATATATTTTTTTTAAATTTTTAGATAATTCAAATTATATTTTTTAAAGTTAAAATATAGAGCATTTAGAAATATACAATTTGCATTTTTAAGTTATGGAAGTTTCAAAACTGTTTATTTTAAATTTATAATTCTCGTTGAAATTTCCAGAGAATATTAAAAAAATATAATATATTTAGAAATTGATGATGATTAATATATTTTTTTATTGTTTTTTTTTCCTATTTTACTCTTCATTGATTTTTTTTTTTTATTGTTTTATTTTCTATCAATATTTTTGTGACACTTTGATAGTTGATATTTAGAGTTAATGAGTTTTTTTCATAATTAAATGTGGAGTTAACATCCAATAATTGATAAATAGGTTAGTAGTATAGAGGCTTTACTTTTGATATACATACAAAGTTGATTTTATTTTTAGTAGCATAAGACAATTTTAGTAGCATTTTTAAACAATAATTATAGAAGCAATAATGCTTTTAGGAAAAAATAAGCTTTAAGATCACTCATAGAAACAAAAATAGACCAATGAAAAAAATAATTTTTTTTTTTTCTTATTTTGGAAAGGGGAGAAGGGAAGAACACCAAAAGCCCCTTGAAATAACTAGTCTCTAAATAACTGATATGACGAATAATCATACAATGTTTTCCCAATTCAGGCATCATCAGAGCATAATAATTAACAATTAGATTTAATATAAAATCATTTCTTTAAAATTTAATTATTTGATGACGATTAATTTCTGTTTTAAACAATTCTTGACCACTTCCTGAATCAAATGATGTTAGTCTGCCGGCTTATTCATGCTACTTGTGCACAGCAAAAACTTAATATTATTGATCTCTGTTTTAAATAATTCCAGTCTCGTCCCTGATTCAAAATACATCATTCTGGCATGTAATCTATGATTACTAAGCATCTTTGGCAGAAATGTTACAATTCTGGATTTCTAAATATTATTAGGAAATGATGAAGGTGCCTACAACCAAAAACGAGCTTTAATCTGAATAGTTAAACTCTTACATTTTATGTCTTTTTAATTTTATTTTATTCCTATTCACAACCAGAAGATATAATTATATATAATCTTAATTAACGGCGTTGATAACCTACAGGTTTTACATACAACAACTAACCAACCAACATTATTTCTAAGTGTAGATTTGTTCTGGAGAAATGGATATGTTTTCAAAGCTGGTAAGTGCTTACGTGAGACATCCAGATAAATGATGAACTGACTTTTGATCTTGAACTACATTTTGCTAGTGTAAATAGTTAAAATAAACTACAATTTTTTTTTTTCAATATCACTTCTTATCTATTTAAAGAAAATAAATGGTAAAATAAAAGTTCCATTTTGCTGAAGCACCCACATACAGTTGACATATTCAACAAACAAATAAGTACATTTTATTTATAAGATCTTCAAATTTATATGAAAAAACAAAAACAATTCATTCTCTCCCTTCTCATATAATATAAATATAGTAATAGGTAAGCATGGTTTCTATATATTTTCTTAACAAATTAAAAAATATTATGCAAACAAATAATATAAAAGTTGGTTAATTTATTTTTAGGCGGAGAATTGTTAAGGGAAGGTTATCCAATATTCAAAGCTGAAGAAGGACAGTACTTAGCTGCCTGTAAGTAATTAATTATATTATTATTAATTCAATTATTTGATAAAGTAGATTTAGTTTGAGCATTGTTATAAACATGTTATTATGTGGCTATTAGGCTAACTAATAATATATTATATTTTACTGTTGCGTACGAATAATTTGTTAATACATATCATTGTTTTGTAAAATCGAAATAGTAGAAACTGCAGCAATATTGGTACTAAATCGTCAAACTTGTTTGATCTTAAAAATATATGATAACTTCAAGTTTAAAAATATTTATGAAATAACAGTGTGATATTTTGCAAAAGAGAACAAATATACAAAATATGCAAAAATAAATTAGACGTTTTGAATTAGATTATTACTCACTCATTTTTTTAACAGAAAAGAACAATAGAAATGAAATGTGGCCTTTAATACTGACAAAATTATTTTTGAACAATGTATTGACGTAACAACAATGTTTTGGGATGGATAAATGTAGAATAAAATTTTATTTGTAAAAAAAAAAAAAAATAAATATATTTATTTGAAAGCTTCAAAATTTTATAAGTACATTAACTTGGACTTGAATTTCGTTAAGACATGTGCAATGTGGATTGGTTCTCTTTTGTTAAATATCATGCAATTTATTTATTTATTTGTTTTCACTTTTTGATAAATAAGGCTCTCATTCATAAAAAATAGTAACTGAAATAATGAAAACTTCTACAATGTTAAAATATTTTTTAATATATATTTTATAGTAATAATAAATTCACACATTCGATCATATAGTACTACTTCATTTTATTTTATACAACATTTCAGCCCCTTAGGCCATTTTCAAGGGAAGAAAATCTATTTCAAACAATTAAAATCAATATGGTCTGAATCCCCCTTGTCAAACATCACATAATTAGTCGATACTACTGATATTGGATCAGTACTAACAGTATTGTCTAATTAAGTTATGTTTGATTGGGGAAATTCAATCTATATTGATTTTAATTGTTTAAAATAGTTTTTCTTGTCTTGAAAATGGCCTAAGAGGCTGAAACATTGACATATTAAATAAAATAAACAAGGACTATATGATCAAATGTGTATATTTATTATTACTATTAATGCAAAGTTGTAATCTACAAGTGTGAATACATATGTTTAAATATATACTTTACGTTTATTAAAAATATATTCTACTTTCAACAAGCAGTCACTTATCATAACTTAATACTATTGAAAAAAAAATCCTAGAGATTCTTTCAACAAACTTCAATTCACTTAAAATGTTAGATGTGATATTTTGCGATCAAATGCTATATTATACGAGTGTATATTTTTACACGTTTTTTACTTAATGTTTTTTTTTTTCTTTCTTTTATGCATTTGCAGTTAAATATTATTGATACTATGTTAAGTAAATTACTACTAAGAGAATATTGGATAATATTTTGTTATTAATACATCTATGGTTACAGGACATTACTTAGTAAGTTGAATAATGGTCCTCATAACATATATGTTGGTTAATTTCCAAGGCTTCTGTTCACCATAAAGAAGTTGATAGCTCAAAGCTCTATAAATCTTTTTCAAGTGTAGATCACCAGCAGATCCACAAGGGGGGCTGTTGGACTTTGGCCCCAAAAATAAAAAAATAATTTTGTTTTCATTGGTTCAAATTTATTTGTGTTAGTGATCTGAGGCAAATGTTTATACAAAAAAAAATTATAAATATATATATATATATATATATATACAAAGTGTCCTGTAAGTAGAGGAAAATATTTAAAAGGTTCACAGTAAACATCAAGATCTAAAAAAAGTTCATATAAATAATTGCCCAATTTCTTGCAGAAAAGTAGAAAATTTAATATGTTAGCTAAGGTTACAGTCCCCAGCCTCCGATAGCTTTATATCATATATAATGATTATTTACGATTGCATCTAAAATATTTTTAAAAATTGCCTTTTTAGAGACTTCATAAGATAGGCAAAATTCGAAACAATCCCGGCCGAAATCGAGTTGAATATTGGAACCCTGGAACTGTAGCCGCAGCTAACGTGTTAAGATACGTGTTTTTTTAAGCGACTCAGGTTTTTTGTTGAATAGGAAACGATAACTAAAAAAATATTTGATTTAAGTAATTAAATATTGCTCCATTGTAAACTAGTATGAAGTAATATGGAGTGAACTATTATTTACTATAAATAGTAAATTTATATGTATATGTATAAATCATCCCTAAAAGCACTATTGTTATCATAATTAGATAACTTTTTTTTAACAGGCCTATCATTTGATATAGTTTTTTTTCTTTCTCCTAGAGTAATTACCATTATAAAAAAAAAAAACTCCCTCCCTCATCTACCCAAAGTCATATCTGAATTTCCTACTGATCTAGATGATTACAGTAGTGCATTTACTTCTTCAACGTAAACAGAAGGCTAAGTAATTATAAATAAAACTCATAAATATGAAATTCTCATGTTTCCCACTGGTATACCGAGTTGAAGTGGCTTTATTCTACTTCCCGACGACAATTCCTCATTGGTGTTTTCCTTTTCCAGGTCCTAAGGATCAAAAATCCTCCTCAAAAACTCCTCACTCTACATTCCTCTAACCACTCTCTTAATACCAGATCTCAACCTATTGATTTACATTTCCCTTCTCATAAAACTACATCCATCTGCAAATCCTTTGTCATTGATGCTACCTCCTTCTGGAATTCTTTACCCATCACCATACGGCAATCCTCATCCTTAAATTCCTTTAAACAACTCTTATTCCACTACCTACTTCATTTTCAAACTTCTGTACCTATTTAATACTTATTGGATTCTGTAATTACAACTGCTCACCCACAATTAATTGACAAGTTTCATTTCATTTATTTATTTACTTTTTCTTTGTATACATGTAAACCATATAAAATGTACTACTGTTAAGGTGTACTTGTGTTTACTGTTATTATTCAGGTATGATTGTGACAAAAATTGAAATTAACATTCAAATGTATTCTGTCAAACCAGACTAACAGACCAATATTTTGTACCATGTTTTTATTATTCTTAGGGGGCTTTAGTCCCAGAATAAAATTATTTTTTCATTTCATAAATCATGAGAACTATTTTTCAATTTACCAATTTATTCCCTGTTACTGTAGATATTAGGTTGGTAATAATGGTTATACTTGATAACATGTTATATGATAATAGCATTAGGAGAACCCTTAATAAAAGGCCTCACAGAAGTGGCACAACTGAGACCTCCAAACCCGATAATACACTTGGCAAACTTCCTTTTAGCTTTCAATAAATCAGAGGATTTGGCCGAACCTCTTCAGGTGAGAATAATTTAATATATTATTATTTTAAGTTATTATTATGTATTCTTATTAACATGATTAAGAAGAAAAAAGTGATGAAAACTGCTTCTATCAATTCAGATTCCCAAGCAAATGGGACCCTGAGATCTTTTGACTTCAATTATGAAGAAAAAAACAATTAATAATTTGTCAATCTCAAACAAGTAAATATTTATTAGTTTTCTCATACTTGAGTGTTGATTTTTTAAAAATATTATTTTATTTTAAATTTACTGTTGGCTACATTTGCTGATGACTCAGCAATATTAACATCTAACAAGGATGCAGCTATGGCTTCTCAGGTACATCAACAACACCTAGACGACATAGCTTGTTGGGCTAAAAGGTGGAGGTAAAAATGAACGAATCTAAGAGCCAATTTGTTTCCTTTACACTTAGGCATGTCTCTTGTCATTCGGTGTTCTTTAATAATATCACTCTACCACCTTCAAAAACTGTACGATATTTGGGTCTCCACTTGGACAAATGACTAACATGGACATACCACATAAAACAAAAAAGACAAGAACTTAATCAGCGATATGGACTTCTTCCTAGGCTACTTGACAGACGTTCTAAATTATCTGTGACCTATAGATTAACTATTTACAAAGCCCTCATTAGACCACTTTAAACATATGGAATCAACTATGAGGAACAGCAAAGACATCAAAAATGAAAATCATCCAGTCATTTCAGTCAGAAGTCCTTCGGAAAATTGTAGACGCACCCTTTTATGTTTCAAACAGAACATTACACACTGACCTTAACATTCCTTTCATAGCAGCAACTGCCACAGACCGCTTTAATAATTTTCCATGACAGACTGACTCTAAATTCCAATCCATTTACTCAAGCTCTATCTACTGCCACAAATCCATATAATCCGCCCTGAAGACTGGTAAGGCGCTGGCCAAGAGACTTATTGCATTGAGCTACATGCTGTATTATCTTTTATGTATTATTATGTTATCTTATTTTTTGTTTACTATTTTAAATGATTATAAATAGTTAGGATTTTTAGACAAAGTTTGTTTTATCCTCGTTGTTGATGTTTCGACTCAATATTGACAGAAGTACATAAACAAGCCATACATAAATAAGAAAAAAGATAAATAGTACATATAAGTTAATAGTAATATAAACATAATAGTACACCAAGTGAAAAAGATAAATACTACACATAAATTACAGAAGAAGTTAGTCGGAGGTGTGGAAAAAAAAATTATATTATATAATAGTATATTTTATTACATTGTCCAACATTTAAACCTACCTTGTAGGTCTTCTTCAGAGCTATATAAGATACAAACAATAATTATTAGTTATTTAATTATATATAAACAATATATATTAATTATAGAAAGTTACAGTATATGTAGATGACTATTGACAGCCTTTTTTTCATATATTTTTCACAGTCTACAATTTAAATATTCCACTGAATCCCGTCCCAATAGTTCTCATACCTCCGACCTCTATCCACCTCCTCATCGAACAGCTGCGTTTGACAAATCCTTTATAATTCATGCCATCTCCTTCTGGAATACCATGCCTCCCGATATCCGACAGGTATAATCAGTTTTCTCATTTAAATCTCTCCTTTTTAAGTACCTACTCCTTTCCAAACCTGATTGGTCATGAAATTTAGATAAGAGAACTTTTTAAAGTTCTCCCAGAAATGATTTTTTTTATTTATGTTATTTTATTTTCTCATGTTTGTATTATACATATCAGTATGTTTTTAGTGTTATTGTTTTATTCTTTTTTCAATATTTTAATCTTAATGAGAATTGTAAATAATTAATTTTATGTATGGCCACACAGGCATTTATTCTGTATCTATAATTTGTCCTAAAGGGACAACAGTCCCAGGATAAAAAAAAATATTTTCATTTTCATTTTCATTGACGTTCAGTTCAATTTGGAAAGTTAATGGATTATTATGAGGTAATATTGTTATATTATTAAATGATGGATTAATTATCCATTATCTTTCCAAATCGAACTGAATGTCAATAGTAATCTAGGTATACTGTAACTTTCTATAATTAATATACAATGTTTATATATAATTAAACAACTAATAATTATTGTTTGTATCTTATATAGCCCTGAAGAAGACTACAATGTAGGTCAAAACGTTGGATAATGTAATAAAATATAATATAATATAAGATTTTTTGACCGCACCCCTGATCAACTTCTTCTGAAATTAGAATCCACTGTCAATCATTTCAAAATCAAAACTATTCAAATAAGAAGTACAATGCTAACTAGGACTAAAAATAAATGAGGTGAATTTTTGAATTATAAAAATGTAGTGAAATAAAATAAAGCAACATTATATGGTGATATTTTGCAACCTAAAATAATGTTATAAATAAATGATAAGTAACTACTATAAATAGTAGCTTAACAATTACGAATGTGTACTATAATAATATATATGTTATTTTACTATTATGTGTATGTTTATGTTACTATTATCTTATGCGAACTATTAATTTTTTTTCTTGGCTTATTTAAGCACTTCTGTCTATATCTTATATTTCTGACATAATTTTTAATTTGTAGTCCTCATTATATGACCCACATGCTCGGGTGTGAAGAACAGAAAGGTGATTAAAACACATCTAGACTGAAGATACTTAAATAATTTTTAAAAACATTCTACAAAATATATCTCTAAAATATTAATTTAACTTTTAAAATTTATGTAAAAATATAAATATAAAATTTTAAATAATTATATTCCTAAGGGCAGGGGGGTAGCTCAGCTGGTGAGCACTGACTTCCAGAGCTGAATGTTCCAGGTTCGAATCCGGCTGATGACTAGTAATTTTTCATCAGACGAGGATCGACCCCAGGGCCGGTAGACCCTCCTGGTGCAAACCAGACCTCTTTAAAGTGGGTACTCTTAATTTAATAATTAATTAAGGGGAAAACCTGGCGGTTGAGCATGTCACCTCCCTGCACAACCGTTGGCCTTGTAACAGTACTAGCTCACATTGTACTGAACCCAAGACTCTTCATGGGTTGTTAGTGGTACAGGTTTTTTTTTTTTTGTTTTTTTATGTTCCTAAATATTATGCTAGGTGATAGGTGCTATAGGTGCTAGGTGATGTCTTGCTATACAAGGACTTGGATACCCTAACCATTTCAGATAATACCACAGAATACTTCAAACATCCTCTACAAACTCACTTACAAGCATATTATACGTTTAGCATAATTTGGATTCACAACAACTACAAACATCCCAATCCAAAAAGTTTTGTGCAGTGATCAAGAGACTTAAGGTAATCTCTATCTGGATGGTTCCACATTACCTTATACAGACCCCTATGTGTTACAGACTCCTTTTTATCAAATTATTAACATCTACCTAAAACTTTGTAAATAGCTTCATCTCATCGTAACCTACAACTATTTTATATATAAAAATTCTTGGAATTGGGACGTTTTCAATCTGGAGATCGCCAAACTTTGTCTATTTAATTAGATACTAAAAACTCATAAATACCCATTTGCTTTCCATTTCAAATATAAGATAATTTGAGCACAGAATAGAGAAAAAAGGCAGTCTTTAAAAATATTGAGCCGTTTGGCGTGACCTACACCCCTAATATGTCAAAATATAATGGTTATATAGGCCAAATGACCCAATCTTTTTTCTCGATTCTGTGCTCAAATTATCTTACAATTGAAATGGAAAGCAAATGGGTATTTATGAGTTTTTAGTATCTAATTAAATAGACAAACTTTGCCGATCTCCAAATTGAAAACGCCCCAATTCCGAGAGCTTTCTTAAATAAAATGGTTGTAGGTTACGATGAGATGAAGCTATTGATGAAGTTTCAGACGGATGTTAATAATTTGATAAAAAGATGTCTGTATCATGGACCATTAAAATTAAAACATTTTACAGGTGGCTAATTACATTTTCAAAAAATATTTCATGCGAATAATAATTTTCCTCTATGTAATTTTCTTAAATAGATCTGTATGTATCCTAAGCTTGAAGGCTAAGAAACAATTATCCATAATATCTCAAAATTTCTGTAATTTTGAACAACATTAGCAATATTATAGCAAAATAATTGTACTATATTGTAAAATTATTAAATATTGTCATTTGTTTATTTAGTTTTGGTACAAGTCTAATTACAAATGGTGACAAAGAAATACTTCTGAAATGAAACCTTAAAGTAAAAATATCTTTAAAAAAAAATAACTTTTTTTTCTGATCTTTCGATGTAAAATAATTTTGGATGATATTACTTATACAATAAAATCAGATTAGAACGTATATATTATACAGTGTAATAATATCCATTATTTTTTATTTCAAAAACAATTGAAGTAAGGTAGTCTTTGAAATGAGATTGGTTGTGCAATCGGTTAAAATAAATATATATTTATATTTTAAATAAACATTTTGTTTTCATATTTCAAAAGTCTTATTATTTAACATATTTTAAAATAATGAAATTCTTTATCTGTATCTTAGAAGGCATTGTTATATAAATATTAAACTTTCAGAGAGGAATCAGAAGTATAGAAGGCACACCCGAGAGTCGCGATCCTAAGGAGGATGAGAACGGGAATCAGATGGAAACAGATGAAATTGAATCACAAACAGAAGAAATTGAAGACGAAACGGAAGATAACAATAATAAAAGAAAGGATGAAGATGAAGAAGTGGTTGAAGGAGTGGACGAAGATGACGAAATTACAAGTTCTCCCGAACCAGAAGAAAATTCTTTTAAACCAGTTAATAGGGTAAGGCAAATGATATTTTATTTTTTTAGCACAGAATTCTGAACTGTAGGACTCGAAAACTTGTTATATTGAGTCTAACAATTGAATTGATCGTAATGTAAGTGGGTGTATAATCACCCTTGGAGCAAGAATTATGAAAACATAAACCTACCACCAGTCTTAAATCGTGTATGTTGGATCTGGGCCAGTTGTGAAACAGAACTTCATGGTTTTACCATCAAATGGGTTGAGAATTGCTTAAAGTTGCAAAAATATGAATTTAGCTCCAAAAATATTAAAAATTTATTTTCCCTTTTTCAATAGCTGCTGAATTATATAAGTTTAGGCAATTGTATAAAAATTAATATTTTTCGATAATTCTGTACCCTGGAACTAAAGAACACCACGTCCATTTTTGTATTTAATTTTCTAGTCACATCCTTCAAGTTTGGTGCCATCTTCTTATAAGTTTTTTATATATATTTTAGGCCAAAGGTCACCAAATATACACAGTTTTTATATCCTGTATTCTTCATTCGACGTTTCAGCTTCAGGAGCCATTTTCAAGATCCATGCACCGCGCCATACAATTTTTAAAATCTATCATTGTAATATGATAGATTTTAAAAATTTTATGGCGCGGTGCATGGATCTTGAAAATGGCTCCTGAAGCCAAAACATCGAATAAAGAATACAGGATATAAAAACTGTATATTTGGCGACCTTTGGCCTAAAATATATATTAAAAAAAAATCCATTTTTGTATTTGTTCAGGGAAGCCAATGTTCCATTGCTTTGAGCTATTAAAATGTGTTTCATAATTACTGAATCTGCTCCCCAGAGGTTGACTAGATGGGTTCTGAAATCCAAAAAGACGTTCAGAAAAACAGATTTTTTTTGTGGCATATATTTGTTTAAAATACTATTTTGAGTCACCCTGTAAGATATTAGCTTTAAAAAAATGCATTTAACCTTTTTATTTAAGTTTTAATAAACGGGACACATGCCTTACCAGTGACACATAGCAATTCAAAATTATAGCTACAATCCCGTAACATTTCACTTTCTTGCCTATTTGCTCATTTCTAAAAAAATAAAATAATTGAAAATTATCATAAAAATAACTGCAAGTGATCATAATAATTAAACTATATTATTTTTAAAAAAAGAAGAGGAGGTTGGCTTGTAACGAAACTACTATTTTGTTGCCAAGTTTCTCATTTTTTTTAATAATTAATATTATGAAATTATAGTAATAATAGTACATAAATTATTTAATGCAGAAACTGATTAGATTGAGAACAAACAGCAGTGAATACCAGTTGTAGTAAATTTAGGTACAGCGAGCTCATTCCCCTATTTGTCTAGTTTTATTTTATTAAAGCTTATGATAAGCAGGAGCTGTTGAAATTGCAGAATTTTCATATTTCTTTCCATAATTATTGAACTTTGTCTTAACCCTCTATATCCTTTTCATTAGAAGTTTCATATTGGCATATAATTTAATTTATACATAAACCTGAATGAAATAAATCGTCTTGGTGTTTATCAGGATGAGCATGGACAAAGTATGCTCCATTTCGCTGCAGCTAGATCACAAGGAAGAAACGCCATGTTCCAGCTGCTTCAAGAAATGGATAGCAATCCTGGTCTCAGGGATTCTCTTTATAGAACAGCTAGAGATATTGCCGAACAATCAGATATCCAGGAAAACATTCGTGGAATTGACAGATACGTTGTTGCTTTGGCTGCTAGAGGTAACCATTAATGATTAGTCACTTTCAAGTAAAATCATTTTTTTTCTTTAAAATTTGTTGCAGGTAGAATTAATCTAAATATAGGGACGGTCTTGATATTTGGCGCCCCTGGGTAATGACGTCATTTCTCTACCCTCAAAAAAATAAATTAATTTATTTCTTAAGCTGTTTTATATTATGTAATATTTGAATTGCATTTCATTGAAAATTTCTCTAACACAGTTGCTTTATCGATAGACTAAAATTCATTATATTAATACGTTTTGTAACTTTTTTAATTACTTATAAGTGGTGAGATTAGAGTACTAGAGTACTAAATAGTGGAATGATCGAGTACAAAAAGCTGTAAAAGATAAGAAAGAAGCATGAAGTCTATACAGGCAGAATAAATCCTAAGCTTATTGGGATGAATACGTCAGATTGAGAAACAAGGCCAAGCAAATATTAAGAGAAACCAAGGTAAGATCTTTGGAGGATCTTGAAAAGGAAACCTAAGGTAATTTTGAAGGAAATCAAAGAAAATTCTGGAGTATTGTAAATGCACTTTGAGAGAAGAAAGGGAAGCAGTGTCAAAGACAATAATAGTGTCTAATGAAAATGAAATTCCTAAAGTATGGCCAAAACACTACCAGAATACCTTTTCCCTCCAGGAATACAGACAATATCCTCGATATGATGGCTGTAGAAGAACTAGAATCCATGAAGACTACGTGGAGAGTAGTGAGAATAGTTAGGATGATGTTTTAGAGAACGATGAGATTGCATTGGCTATGCAGAAAATAAAATTGGCCAAAGCAGCAGGCAAGGATAATATTATGCCAGAATTCATAAAATATGGAGGAGAAGAAATGATCAAGTGCATCCAGAACCTCTTTCAATAGATCTGATCACAAAAGAAAACACCCCAGGGCTGGGAAAATAATATTATAATTCCAATTTTCAAGAAAGGCAACCAGACAAAATGCGACCAATATGCCTATCCTCTGTAGTATATAAATTATATACAAGAATATTGGAACAGAGATTTAGGAGATTGGTGGAGTATGGTCAGCAGAGCAGGCTGGCTTTAGACCAGGGAGACAAACCCAGGATCATATTTTCTCATTGAGAATGGTTGTTGAGAAAGCTTGGGATAGAGAAAGAAGGCTATTTTTGGTATTCTTGGACTTGAAGGCTGGATTTGATTCGATTCCTCACCAAGAAATTTGGATTGCTCTGCAGGAAAAATGGGTGCTATCCAATCTCATCAGCGCAATCAAATTGGTATACCAAGATCCCAAGGAAATAGTACGGTTTGATGGATCTGAATCGGAGCCATTTAGGTTTTATAAAGGCGTCAAGCAAGATGATAGCCTTAGCCCACTACTGTTCATCATATGCATGGATGAAGGATGGAAGGTTTGTAAGCGAAGGACACCCAGAGCAACCGTGGGGTCCTGGAATTTGATTCCTGTGCTGGCACAAGCTCTTCTACATGCAGATGACGTACTGATGATAATCCGACACACAAGAAAAGCTTCAGATGGCTGTCAATGAATGGTCGGAAGAGCTCCAGATGAAGGGGATGAAAATAAACTCTACAAAAAGTAAGGTGATACTTGTCGGCCACAAAGCAACTACTGCAGGAACAAGAGGTTAAGAGAGAAACTAAATATAAGGCCTGTAAAACAAGTCATGGAGGAGCAACAACTGAAGTGGTTCGGTCCTGTGTACCGAATGGGTGATAACTGAAAAGCAAAATGGTTCCTAGAAGCAAAATCTAGAAGTGACCTAGAGGAAGGCCCAGGCTATTGTATTGTGACTACATTGAGAGACTCGGGCGAGCCAGAGGTAGCACCATGGTGGATATGAGAAGGAGGACCAATGACAAAGATCAGTGGACGAGATGGGCCGAGGCTGTTCCTCGACGCTGATGGCACTAAGGAGGTGGCAAAAGAAGGAGAATAATTGGTGAGCACCCCTGAAGATTGGCAGACGCCCCCAAGGGGTGCCCCTCCAAGTTGGCGCACTGGGACAATTGTCCTGGTTGCCCCACCCTAAGGCCGACACTGATAATCCGAAAATGTAGATTGCATGGACTGTGCAGATTATCAAAAGTTAGCGTAAAATGATGGAAAAATTGCACAAGGCAACAAAAATGTATTTATCAGTTAAATATCAACACATTGTAAAAAATAAAATATTTCTGAAAATGATCATACAATGTTTACAATGTTGAGACTATGATTCCATACTTGCTTTTGAAATTATCAAGGTAACCTTTACTGGTATTAAAATCTGCTTTGTCATGTTTTTTAAAAGAAATATTTTGCTTTTTCATCTAATATATCCCTGGAAACTGGATACCACCCTGATCTCTGCTGCGAAGAGATTCCTCAACTTCTGAATGACCACCTAGTTTAAATGGTTTCCGTTTAGAGACACCACAATACAATTTCAACACTACCGCAGAAAGCAGTTTTAGTGATATGAACCGAGAAACAGACAGGGATTGCTGTGTAGGCTTCACTCGAGCAATTTCCTTCTGATTCTCCTCAGTCAACTTTTAACTTTTTTATTTATTTCTTGTTCAGATTACTATTAGCTCTGGATTATCAATATCGTCCTGTAATTACATCTGTAGATAGGCATATTTAGTTATTGTTTACAATTGATTAAACAAGTCTCCAACTAAAAATCAGCTTAGGTTTTTTTTTCTTCCTTTGTATTATGATATAGATTTTTATTTCCAAAGACTGGAAAAAAATTAAGCACTTCATGTTTTTGATGGTAATAAAATTTTAAGAATTCAAATTTGTTATTGTAAGGGTGTTTTAACTTTAATATAATACTTTTACATAATGGCTATGTAAAAACTTAAATGGTTGATGCTTTGAACAACAGAATATCCCCGGATATTCTAATTAATGAACTTCAGAATGAAGAAATGGAGATCTGTGTTTTTAAAAATGCAGTTTATGTAAAAAAATATATATATATTGTCATTTAATGATAATAAATGATAGTTGACATTTTTAAGATAAACCTCATTTAGTTTTTCTAAATAATTTGTGAGGTAGCGACTACAAGCAATTTTTTTGTGCTATCTTTTTTTGTTCCTAACGCCTCTTGACTTGACTTCCGTCATTAGTCCTCTAGCAGCTACGGGGCTGTTCTAGGCAACAGCTGTGATCGTTTGGTTCTCTTATACTCGCATAGATATCCAGGGAGCACGTGGTTTATAATAACCAGACGTGATCGTTAATTACTCCCTCTTCATCAGGATGGTTGGCAACCCTTTTGCAGACTTCTCCATCCTGTTAATTTTTACGGAATAGGGTTCATATGGCCCTGTGCCCTATCCCAAATCTGGAGCTATGTTGTTGCAAGACACAGGAGTCTCTCACCTTCCTGTGAATCTCAGGGTGGGGACGTTACTGTAATCAAACTCGCACCGTAGTGGTCTAAGTAATCAAGTAAGGACTGCACTTATTTATTATTAATTTTTTTTTGTTTAGGTCCCGCGAATGGGATTTAAACTCGTAGCTTAAAATTTTTGCTGGCATCTTAACTCGCTCGACCACCGCGGCCCCTTTTTTGTGCAATTGATTTTTAGAATAAAAGTAACTTTCATTATATTTAATTTTTTAGGGGAAGAAAACAGGTTAAGAGAACTGTTACTTGAAGGATATGACCATATTTTGGATGCTGAAGACAATGGTTCTATCTTAGAAATAACTGAGGGAAGGGAGCAAACGGCAGTTTTGAAATTCCTCAAAGGAGTTACAGCGTTTGAGGTGATTGTTTATTTTGATAGTTGATTTATTGATTTTTTTTTTTACATTTTATTTGCAGTTTTTGAAGATATTTTCAAATTGTTGTGGTAAATAAATACAATTATTTAATTTATACATTAAATTCTAGTGTTTTGTTTTGATAGAAAAATAATGAATGGGATGATGTTTTGTGAATCATAAAATAATTACTAAACACGCCACCTTCTACTCAATTACTCCAAGTTATGCAAAAGAATTTTATCACATTCCTTGTAAAATTCCTCAATCAAATTATAAACTGAAAAATGGTAGTGCCGCTATATGAAAAACTTGTTTTGTTAAGGAGTTCAAGGTCAAAAATTGTTTTTGATAGTTTCCAGAATTTAATTTTAAGCTTTGAAGTTTTTTAACATAAATCAGAAAACACCTGGATGAGCATTATAGGAGCGAAGAACTTCTATGATTGTTCCATTCAGATTTGAAAACTTTTAAAATATGCAAGTTCCACTTATTTAACTTTTTACACACAAAACATAAAAATTTTTTGGTAATTCTGTAAATTAAGGAAAAGACCATAATTTTATTAAATAAAATGTAGAGTTTATTTGTCTGTGAGGCAATTTATTGGCCCAAGTCAAAATCAATTAATTTTAAATTTGAATTCAAAGAAAAATTGCTCTAAATCTGCTAAAGAAAAATCTCCCCTTTTTCTGAATTAAGTTTTATTAATCGTTGAAAGAGAGCAGCACTTCCTAACTTTTGAATTTGTAATTTTGGTAGTAGCCAAAAGATAACAGCACCATCAGAAGTAAAGGTGATTATAGTTCCATTGTAATTTGAGCTGTATGATGAGGAATGATATTGTAAGGGATTACATAACGAGGAGGTATCTTTGAAGTTTTGGGATTTGTAATTTGAGTTGTATGATGTGGAGCGTTATTGTGAAAGATTGCGTAATGAGGAGTTATACTCGTCGTTTCAGCATTGTGAATTGTGGTGTTGTGTTCTTATATTTAGTGTTAGTATATGTTGCTTGTGCGTAAGTCACATTGTCTCATTCTTGTGAAATAGGGGCAGTGTTAGTAAGTCGATCGTGTTCCGTCTCTGGCTCTGTACATTTAGTCTTCTTTTCTGCAGCTCTAGGTGTACTATGCATCCCCTATAATTTGCAGAAGCATTGCCACTGCACAGCGCACAAATAGGTGGCTCTTCAAGTGGTTTCTGGCACCTATCACTAGGATGATCTTGACTGCACTTCACATATCATGGTTTATAATGGCAAAATATCTTCTAGTGTGTCTTTATTCTTGACATCTCATACATTGAACAATATTTCTTCTGTTGTGAGGTTCTTCAATTTTAACTTTAGTTATAAGTATAAGCCAAATTTGTGATATTAAAGACCTCAGCATTGTTTGGAGGTGGCTCTAAGTCAACAAAGAAAAGTGAGAGTGGTTCTTTTGATCATGGATGTAACACATTAGAGATGAGATCGACCTTGAATCCTTTTCTCTCGAGATCATATTTTATCATTTCGTGAAGAGTTAAATAATGAAGATTTATAATAACAAACCTATATAATGGTTGTCTTCTTGGCCACTTACATTTACCAATTGAGAATTGGTAAGTGTAAAAGTTATAGCTGTTGGTTTCTAGATGTCTAACGCAGACTCTATAGGCATCACTTGTTTTAGCTTTTAATGTAACAATCGATTTGTTAGAAAAGCATTCAAAATTATTTTCTTTTAGAAGGTTTAATAAATCCGTGCTAAGTGTTTGGAAAATAGTTATAATTGTTATTTTGATTGGAGGTGGTTGATGAACAACTGTTGTTTTGTCAGGTTCATCTTCCATTTCTGTAGAACGAGATTATCCTTTTAGAGATTATCTCAAAAATATTACTGACTGGAACGTAAGGGATACTATTTATTATTGTTGAAATATTTGTTGCACTTGAGCCCTGAATAACATTTTCTGGTACTCCAGTGTTTTCAGGATAATGTTCTGGTGTAGATTCAATGATATGGGTTGTAGAGTTATTATTTTCAATAATTAAATTATTCATTTCAGTACTCGTGGAGTTAGGAAAGTTACATAAATTAACATATGTTTCCTTTTGGTTAGGATTTTTTGAAGTTTTTTCACTGAATTTTTTGAATTCGCTCTCTTTTTCTCATTTATTTTGTCTTTCAATGAAATACTTGAATTGGATCTTACCTTTCTCTTCAGCAGTTTTAACAAAACAGCCTGATCTGGGAGTCCACTCGAGCCAGCTAACTGGTGTGCATTCATAAGTAAAGTGTCTGTTTTCACTTTAAAAAACTATACAACAAGATTATGCCTTTAAAGAGAACATATTTTCACTACCAGACACATGACGAATACAAGAATTCAATTTATTCAGTTTAATACAAGAATTTATGAGAAGAATTTTTTTAGCAATCGCACTGTTCAATCACATTGCACTGTATCTGTTGTTCATGTATAAATGACATTCTTTTTATCTAAAATTTTTTTCTAATATAATTTATCATAAATAATATTTATCAACATATGGTATTAACTGAATTAGGCTCTTCAGAAATTAAATTTCATGTATTTGGAATTTTAAACTCTCATCCATTCCATATTCCTTCAAAATTTTCAGTTTACTATTCCGATTTTCTTTCCATGTTAGTGATTGGGAGTACAATAGTTTTTTAAATATTAGAAGAAAAAAGTTGTTTTAAAGAAATCATTATCAAACATAGGACGTAATACCAATAAAACAGTACTTGTGCTATTTTCTAGTTTATTTGGTTTATAATATTCCTTGTAATTTTTAAGGATGAAAAATAATTCTTTGTTTGTTTCTAAAGATAAAAAAAATTAGGAAATGCAAACATTAATGATGTTTATTAAGTTACAAAACAAAAAAAACATTGTAAATTATTAACAAAGATACATTCCATTAGTTTTGGTATAGTTATTAATTTCTTCCTCTTTAAAGATATTGCATTTACTATTCTACTACACCCTTTTTCCTGGCTGATATATTAACTTAATTATTTCTAAAAGGCATTTGTTTGTTCTTACATTTTATTTTTTTAATAATTTAGAAAATTCCATGATCGAGGCTTTATTTTGTCTTTATTACCATTATTATCTTTCCAGTCAGCACTTAAAAATAGGTCCTAGAAAAGCAATTTGTACAAATATTTTGGTCTATTATGTTGAATGGAATATCGTAATCAACCAATGAAAAAATAATTCCTTCCTTACATATTTCTTAGGATTTACATATTTCCATATTTTTTTGCTATTTCTTCACTAAATATAATTTTCTGCAAAATTATTCGCCAACTAGTGAGTGAGCTATTATTTATAATTAATATTTCATATTATTAAACTCGCCTTATTGATGTTTTCACTTTTATCAAATGGTCTAAAGCACACACCTTATTTTATTTATTTTTCCTTAGTTTTGTTCTTCATATTAGCTATAATAACATAGAAACATGTATGATATTCATCTCTTCTTAAGCTCTTTAGTAAATTTCAATTATATGTTTCAGGAAAATCGTGAAAAATTACACAGAGCGATTAGGTTCGGATCACTGGCCCAAGTGCAGGAAATATTTAAGAAAAGCGGTTCCAGAAAAATGCTAGCGGTTGCAAAAAATAAGCAAGGGCGGTCTTCTCTTCATGTCGCAGTTCTTGCACAACATGAAACAACGGTCGAACATATCGCCACTAAGTATCCGGCTACACTTCAGATTGGTGACAATGTATGATTGTATTTTTTTTTGTACTATAAGTAATAAATAAAACTATAATCTGCTCGCTATTGGGCAAGGACATTGTAAATAGGCTATTTGGTGGCAATTGTAAAAAGGCCTTCCATTTTGTTGGGGGTCTTTGTTATTTACACTCGTGAATTTAATTTTCTTAAAGAAACAAAACCCTGGCACTGGATATAGACTTTTTCAGGGTGTTTACTGTTGTTGGGAATTCGAGAATCTAATGCTTTTGTGACTCTGAGTGAAAAGAAATAATAAGAATATATAAAATATGAAATGTGGGACTGAGTAAATACAGTTTAAATGAATTGACTTACCTGGTTTGTCATTCTTCAATTGTGAGGCATATAGGACAACTAAATAAAAGGACTATTCACTGCTGTATAACAAAATAATTTATTTCCACAAATATAATTAATTGAATAAATAAATAGATCTCCTTAATCTTCAGTTTAGTGGGCTTCTCTTCTGCTATCATGTAGTTATCTCATCATGTCCATGCCTCAAGTGAGTTCTTCTTTCTTCTCCCATGTCCTTCTCAAGCTGCTGCCACCTACAGTCACTTTTCCAAGCTTCTTCCTTTCTTTGTCTGTATCTTTTTCGTCAATTGTTTATCGATTTGATACTTTTCAATAGACAGCCTGTCTACTGCATAATTGAGTACAATGCATAGTGCAACCCTACATTCCTTCTCATTCACTCACTCAACGTCACATTAAGGACTAAATACTAGAGGCCATCTACTACAACATAATGGGTAAGCTCAATTCTGAATGTTGTGGGTTTGGTTCCCAATTGTCTCTATTATGTTTATTATTTAGAAGCCCCAAGAAATGATGAATCTTGACACTTCCACCCTGGTTAATGGCAGGCCTCACATTGCGGACTAGCTCTCCCTACCAGTACCAGTACCAGTAGTATTGCTTAGAAGACACCATTATGTTCCTTTTTTAGATATTTAGTTAAGGACCAGTCAAAATAAAAACATGTGGTCCTTCACCGAGGTTATAAAAAAATTTGTGATTTTCTAAATAAATCCAAAGCTATGCCCTTGGTGACAATTTGAAGCAAAAAACTCTTATTTTTCTATTGCTATGAAAATTTATGTTTGGGTTCTTCGAGGTGCTAACTCTGTTTCTCCCTAAAAAAAAATTTGAGATATTTGCAAATAAAAAGTTTTTTTTTCTTTCATAACTTTTTCCACTGAACTTTCGGGAGGATGTGACTATGGTTTTTCATGTATCCATCCGATACTGTTTCATTTGAAACCTAATTTGACAAAATGAATATTTTTGAGTCCTTGGCCTCCTCAGTGATCCTATCTACTCTCACCTTTTTGTTTTCTCCTTCCTCGCCCTATATGAGGGTTTTCCCGGGCCAGGGGGTAAGGGCAGGGAATTAATGCCAGAGTTAAAAGACCTCCTCGGCACCAGGAAGAGAACTTCTGATTATTTTAATCAAATTATCTCATATATCAGGTTGCCGGACAACGGAGGTGCTGTGCACACGCGTTAATCAGCTCGCCCACTCCGCCCCTTCTCCACTCCAATCTGTCTTCGGCTGCGCTGCTCCATCTGCCGACACCCAATGTCCGAAGGTCCTCCTCTATACCTCTCCCTCTCCAAAAAAAAAAAAATAAATAAAATAAAAAAAGTAGCACATACCTACCATAAGAAATCAGAGAGGGGGGGTTAATGCCCTCCCCTCCCAAAACAGTTTAACTAACACCCACTTACCCAATCATATTGCTTTTTCATCTTTAAAAAAATCAGGGGGTTTAAACCCCCCCCTTTCTCTAAAAAAAAATTAATACTAAAATGAAGTATCACCTACCACTGGTAACATATTGCCAAGAGGGGCACCAAAAATTTTGGAAATATATTCAAACAGAAAAAATATATTTGCTTACAAAAATGTACAATAATTTATTTATTTTTTTAAATAAACTCATCAAGGCTAGATATCTGTAAGCCTTCAACTCAAGCTTTAGAGGTTCGAGGTTTAAAGGCTCAAGAGCCGAGCCTTCAGAACTCAAACCTTCACGACTCGAGTCAAAGCTTATTATACTTCATATTTATTTACTTCATATTTGTTTAATTTATTACTATTATATACACCAAATTTTATATTATATAGTCATATTTTTTTAATGCATGTTTAATTTAAATAGTTATTCCTGGAATATATATTAATTTTAAAATAACTGCTCATTTTCATCATGTTTTATTTTTCTCTCACTATTTTCATTGTCATTTTTTATGGTTTTAAAAAAATCAATTATCAAACCTACCTTTTTAGTTATAACACTTTTTTTATTATTATTATAGCATTTTTAATTATTTTCTCATTAAGGCATTTATTACTTTAATTTTTAGCATTATTTATCTTCTGATAACTTTTGTACCAAATCCTTTTTATTTATTTGTAGGGGTAAAAATTATTACTTAAAATTTTAAAAAATTCAGTTTTCATTTCTTTTAAATATTTCTTATCAGTTAAGGTTAAGGATTTTTAAAGTATTTTTTTGCTGTATTTTTAATTTGATGGTTTGGATGATTTGAAAAATAATTAAGTATTCTATTACTACTGCTTTTTTTTTTGTCCAAATTATCTCTATTTTATTTTTATCAAATATGATATTTATATCAAAATATGTTATTGTGCTATTAATAGGGTTTTCAGCAGTAAAGATTTTTTTTTTCTCATTATTCAATAAATTTAATAATTCCTCATCTTGCTTATCTTTTGTGATTAATAATAAGTCATCTATATATTTTGTAATTAATATTGGTTTTTCTATCATCTTTGCAACTTACTCATTAATGATTTTATTGAGATAGCACCCACTAAGTACCACAGACAATCACCCACTAACCATCCCCTCCCATTGTGAGACCATTTATCATTTTAAAATAATTATCATTAAATTTAAAATAATTATTTAGAATGCATAATTTTATGCCTTCTATGTAGATCATTTTATTCTTTATATACGTGTGTTTATTTATAATATTCCAATTTTCTTCTATCATTTTCATAACTTCATCAATGGGCATATTTTTGAAAAGTTCTTTTACATCAAAACTGCTTTTGCTATACCGAATGTTTTGGTCCAATCTCAAACTTTTTAACTCATTTAAACAATCTAATGTTGGTTTAAAATTTTTTTGCAAGTTTGTCCGTTGTTCTATCTATAATTATTACAATAATTATTTAAAATTATGGTTAGATGGATTATGTTATAATGCTGTAAGTAGAGATATCGTTTATTGCTTCGATATTTTAGATTTCCGTTTATTGTTTTTTATGAGCTGTTATATATTTTTTTAAATATATATTTATAATCAATGATGTAGAGATGGTTGACCGTGATATGATATGAGAAGGAGTTGATCGGGGGGTGCGGTCAAATAAATACTAAATTATAGAAATAATATTATTTAATTATAATGCCGACGTTTTGACCCACCTTGCAGGTCTTCATCAGGGCTACAAAGTATACAAAATATAAAAGGTACATGGTGAAAATAAAATAAATGAATTATAAGTAGATATTAAATAAGAAAAAGGTGTCTGATCAAGAAGTAATAAGATGAGATCAGAGATATAGTGGGTGACAGTGTAGTTAGAATATCAAGTATTATATATATAGAAGATACAAATAAAAATAGAAAATAAGTATGAATAAAAATAGAAAACAAAGGTGAATATAGCATGTAAGTTAAAAGTAAATAGAGTGTGTTTTTATCATGATCTAAAATGACCTTTTGTAGCCCTGATAAAGACCTGCAAGGTGGGTCGAAACGTCAGCATTATAATTAAATAATACTATTTCTATAATTTAGTATTTATTTGAACGCACCCCCTTATCAACTCCTTCTCATATAGATATAATTATTCGACTTGAAAATGGGCAAAATTACCTGAAAGGTCGTCAAGAAATTGGAATGAATTAAAGCATTAAGTAAATGTACAAGTGTTAAAATAAATTGTTTTTTCTCGGTATTATAAATTTTATTTATTAATATATACTCTTAGGAAATTTTAAAGATTTAATTTTTACATTTTTGTTTCGCTATCATAACATTAAGTTAAAAACAACAGAAAAAAATAAGTTACAATAATTCTATATAAATAAATACTCTTAAAAATTGTATAAATACATATTAATGTACACAATAGTGAATTTAGAATTTAAACAATTGAAGAAAAAAAACATTAATCACTGCCAAAAACCATGGCAGACTCTATGCACCACGTGCCTTCTGGAGTTAAAAATAAATAGATTGCCCATAGAAGGTTAATAATTCTTTTTATTCATAAAGTCAACAATACATTATTATTTCTAAGATTTATCGTTAATGTTCACAGCTAATGAGAACTCCACTTCACTATGCTATGGCTTTAGAAAAGGTTGAGTCATTGTCTAGAATCCTTATAGCTGCGGGTGCTCAAAGAGTACTAAAAGATCTGGTAATTTTGTTTTTCTTATTTTTCATTTTAAAACATATTTTATTTACAATTCTTTAATATTTATTTTTATATTTTTAGAAAGGAAGACAGGCTAGCTATTACTTTATGAATAAAACCGACATCAGGCAACTTCAGGATGAAGAAGAAGCATTGAGAGTATAGGTCTTCAAATCAAGGGAGAAACACACTAGAAAGTCTTAGAATATATTCATTAGCTTTATGAAGCAATTTTTTAACAATAATTAAAAAGACATACCTTTAAGTTTTGTACACTGTGATGTATATAGTTGTTTTTTTTAATTTGTTACTGTAGAAATATATTTTAAAAGAAG